GTTTCCCCCCAAAGTTCTTAGGGTGAAGTCCCAGTACCTCAGAACGTGATTGTATTTGGAGACAGAACCTTTAAAGAGGTAACTAATGTAGAATGAGGTAAAATGGGTCAGCCCTAAGGCAATATGACTGATGTCCTTTAGAGACATTAGGACTGAGAGGTATACAGAGGAGAGACCCTAGGAAAGACCAGGGAGAAGAAGACCATGTCTGAGACAGGGAAAAAGGCCTCAGGGGAAATCAACTTCATCAACACCTTATATGGGACTTCCAGCCTCCAGAGAAGAATATAAATTTCTCTTTAAGCCACCCAGTCTGTGGTACTTTGTTATGACAGCCCTAGCAAACTAACAGGATCTTTACACCAATAAATTTGAGAAAAGGGAACTTCTATGCACTGTCAATGGGAATGTGATTTGGTGCAGCCGCTGTGGAAAACAGTACAGAGGTTCCTCAAAAAATTAAAAATAGAACTACCCTATGATCCATTAATTCCACTAATGGGTTTCTACCCAAAGAAAATGAAAACACTAATTCAAAAAGATATATGCACCCTTGTGTGTACTGCAGCTTTACTTACAATAGCCAAGACATGCAAGCAACCTAAATGTCCACTGATAGATGAATGGATAAGAAAGATGTGGTAAACATATTCAATGAATATCATGCTGTCATAAAAAAGGATGAGATCCTGCCATTTGAGACAACAGGGATGGACCTAAAGGGTGTTATGCTAAGTGAAATAAGTCAGACTGAGAAAGACGAATACCCTATGATTTCATTTATATGGGGGGGGGGGAATAAAAAAAAAAGCAGAATCAGATCCATAAAAACAGAGAAAACATTGATGTTGTCCAAGGCAGGGAGGGAATGGGATGGGCAAAATGGGTAAAGGGGAGTATGAGATACTAGCTTCCAGGATGCAGAAATGGATGAGCCATAGGAATAAAAGGCACAGCATAAGGAATACAATGATATTGTTTACGGGGACAGAGGGCAGCTACACTTGTGGTGAGCGTAACAATAACATATAGAGATGCTGAAGCACTGTGTTGTACACCTGACCTAATGTAACATTGTGTGTCAACTATACTCAATTTCAAAAAAATTATAATAGAAAAATTAATGAAATAGCAAAATGCTGGAAAGAATAGAAATTCCCACTGCTAGAGAAGGAATAAATTATGGTCCAGCCTTTTTTTTGAAGCAAAAAGAATCACTTTATTCAAATTTCAAGCTTTCAGGCTTTTCTAACTCTTAAAATCTGGTAAAAACTAATAAATACTAGTGTTTTTAGTGTACATGTAAGAATATATATGTGATATATAGCATATACACATTTTCTTAGGGATTTGTAAGTCATTAAAATTTTCTTTAGATATAAAGCAAAATGATTTGGGACCTTGGGGAAACCAAGTAACAAAGGCCACCACCTAAGTCTCAATCACAGTTATTATTTCTCTTCAATCCAGAGGACAGAGAAGACACACCCAGGAGAAGATGGAAAAAGGCACCAGCTAACCCTCCCCTCCCTCCCAGGGTGGGCAACTGGAGATCTCTACTGGCTGCATCTTTTACAGCTGCCTTCCAAATATATGATGCGGATGCAAAATACACATCGAACCGCCTTACAGAGGTGTGACCTGGAGATTTGCAAAACTCTTCAATTGCCACTGCTTTTGTATCATTCATATTAGAAAGAAAGCCAGGGATGAAGATAACTCCTGGACTTCTGCCTTTTAGCTTCTTATAAGCCAAGTTTGGAAGGCCCGGTTGACTAAGGAAAGAGACTAATGTCTTTTGTCTGTGAGCTGGGAGCCCCGGTGGTGTCCACTGGGGCTTCCTTGCAAGTAATACCTTGAGGCCACAGTGGAAGTTGAAGAAGACAGCCCCTCTGCCCCACCTCCACCAAGGTAGCCACTTGGCCACAGTTGCCATTCTATCCTGCTGTGGAAATCCGTATTCTCCCCAGTATGCATGAATATCAAAACCAAAAACTCTGCATAACATAAGCACATCACAAAGTAACATAAATCATATGGCATTACTTATATGATATGTCCCCAAACAAGCAAAAGTAAACAATATAGAGCTCACAAATATATACTTATAATTGATAAAAAGGAAATTGCAATGCAAAATTCAGGACGACTGAAAACAATCTTTAAAAATACTGGAAACATTCTATTTCTCAAGTTGGGTTTCTTTTTGTTACATGTCTTATAAAATATATTCATTACATATATTCTTTTATACCTACCAAATACTTAATAACTTCAAGAAAGCTCTACCCTTACTTTTTCAACTAGAAAAGAAATTCTTTTAATTAAATAAGAATTTTGGGTGGGAGGGATGGGGTGGCTGGGTGATAGACATTGGGGAGGGTATGTGCTATGGTGAGCGCTGTAAATTGTGTAAGACTGTTGAATCACAGACCTGTACCTCTGAAACAAATAATACATTATATGTTAAAAAAAAAAAAAGAAGAAGATAGCACGAGGGGAAGAATGAAGGAAAATCGGAGGGGGAGACAAACCATGAGAGACTATGGATACTCTGAGAAACAAACTGAGGGTTCTAGAGGGGAGGGTGGTGGGAGGATGGGTTAGCCTGGTGACGGGTATTAAGGAGGGCACGTTCTGCATGGAGCACTGGGTGTTATACGCAAACAGTGAATCATGGAACACTACATCAAAAACTAATGATGTGATGTATGGTGATTAACATAACATAATAAAAAATAAATAAATAAGAATTTTCAAAATTACTGATTTAAAAAAAATTGACATAGTTGGCTAGAATTTGTTTTATTAAGACAATACAGTCACCACACAATACAAGCAATTATTTTAACACAAGAATTAAAACTTATCCAAAGCATAAGAAATAGAGGGTAGAAGGGAAATCCTCAGAACATTCAACTAATCAAACTAAAAAAAAAAAAAGCACATTATCCAAAAAAAGTCTATGTTGCTACATGTCTCAACATAAAATTATTGTGTTATCACAGCTAGATTAATAATAATAAATATACTTAGTACAGAGAAGTACTTTTTCACGTTATATTTAACTATAGCCTAAGCAGTAAATTCAGAGCATTTTTACCATAACATCAGTATAATTAGGAAAATCCTTCTCTTACCATTTTCCAGTCTTGTAAACCAGACCTTTTCCTCCACCACTGCTTACTAGAAAAGTCAACCTTAATTAAATATTTCAGGTTTTGTGTGACCCATTTGTCAATTTTTCAGGATCTCCTCTTCCTCTTCTATCACAAATGATCACACTCCTTAACGCTTTCTTCAAAGAAGGAAAAAAGTAACAGAAAAATCCATCCTCATTTTCCTTTTCTCATTCTCTTTCTTTTGTTCTCATTCACATTCCACCCATCCACTTATTCAAACGTTTGTTAAGAAGATACCTACCAGAGACATTTTGCTTTAAATTCAAAAACAGGCAAAAGTTAAACCTACTTGCTTAAACTGCATTTTAAAATCTGTGAATTGCAAGTAACCACGTTCCCTTGTTGCCTTTCTTTCTCCCAAACCTCCCAGTCTATAATGGGCTATGTAACCTTGAGCAAGTAACTTCATTTTTATTGATCTTTTTCCTCCTATGCATTATCCAGTTGAATGAGATAATTCTTATAGTACTGTCCAACTCCAAATTTCCACATTTCTAAGACAAAGGTTTGAAATTTTCAGCATTACTTAAGAAGAAAATCTAGAAAGGAGCTACTCTTGATGCCAACAATATAGCATCATCTCCTTGAAGCACAGCCATGCATCCTGGACTGCTTAAGGAGACTGAGCAGACATAAAAAGAATGACAAGGAGCTAGCCCAATGATCCCACTGATCTGTGCTCCTACCCAGCCAACATGTTTCCATGTGGAAAGAGCAACTGCTAGGGCTTTAGCAGTATCTCAGTTTCACAGTTAAAGGCAAAGTACAACTGAGATTCAATTTCTCACTCAGAGAGCATTAGAGACTTTTCCACTATAATTAAGTTCTTGCGTTACGACAACATGCATTGTTTCTGACAGAACAAAAAATAAGCAGCTTTTGTAGAATTGATTAGAACTGGGGGAAAGGAGTCTAGCTCACTCATAGCTGCAACACAGAAATCTCATAGCCTTTTCGCTCTCTTTGCCTCCCCTTGATTATTTGCACCAAGCTGGCCAGAGGTGGATCGTAGAACTGCCAAATTGCATGCCAGTTCCACCTCTGAATGTCTGTTACCTCAATTTTCTTTCTTTTTTTTTTTTAAGATTTTATTTATTCATTTGAGAGAGAGACACACAAAGAGCACACAAGCAGGGGGAGAGGGAGAGGGAGAAGCAGGCTCCCCGCTGAGCACGGAACCCAACGTGGGGCTCGATCCCAGGACCCTGAGATCACGACCCGAGTCGAAGGCAGATGCCCAACCATCTGAGCCACCCAGGCGGCCCCTGCTATCTCAATTTTCTTCAAACTCTATGGGGAGAGATGAGAGGTAAAGTGGGGCTGTAGTAACTACCAAGTTAGACAAGTGAGCATTTAAGATGCATTGAAGTCCTGGTATGGAACCAGAAGAACTTAGACTATCAACCTGTCATTTAATTGCTTGAAAAGAAAATGCTGCTTACCATCCTCTAACCTGTAATCAGTCCCCCTTCCGCCCACACTTCACAAGGGCCATCTCCACGATCATTTCTCTACTAGGGCCTTCCACTTTAAGTGGCACTTTTAAAAATGACAAACAAATAAATGTTACAAAACAGAGATTAGATGGATGCAGCTTTGCTACCAACCGCTGTGCAACTTTACACAAGCACCTCAGTAGTCCAGAGACTGATAAAGGTTGCCACCGACAGAAATAACCAATCTGGCCAGCAGACACACTCCCACATCTTTCCACCATTTTCTCCTTTTTAGATCAGTGTATCATGGAGAAGAGAAGAATTCACAAGCATCAGTATGATACATTCTACCGATAAGGTTTTGTGTCCTTTGTATCTACAGTTTGTCAACATTAACCCCCAGGAGAAGTTGTCACCACTGGAAAGAATGGAATCAAGGAAGGGAATAACCAGGTAAAGTGTCTTAATTCATAGGATCCTGACGGTTGAGGAATGGGAATTATATTTGCAATTAGTTTACAAGTAATTGGATGATTAAAATAAAATTTTTTATTGAAACTCAGAAAAATCTAGCAAGCATTTGCCCATAAACTAGAAACAACCCCCACCCCCCATTTTCTCTCTCTCTCTCTCTCTCACACACACACACACACACACACACACAGCATAAATGTGTAACAGGTCTGTTCCACAAGTAACTGATCTTATTCAGCAATCTAATTGTTCCTATTCTCTGATTAGAATTCTACTTCTGAATTTACTCTAAATCACAAATTCGAGTCAAAGCCTTTCTGGGGTTATAGACAAAATTCTAGGAATTTTAAGCCAGGTTGTTTTGAAAAGCTTTTCTTTTTCTCTCTGAATCCAGTAAGAGGCTAGTGCTCTGCCTTCACTCATCTCATCACCTGCTCCTTTATCTTTGCCCCCAGGAAGTCCCCTTGTTCAGGATTTGCTAGTCCTGTACCAGGGCTCAACACCGACCTCCAGGAAACCCTCCCAAGATATGAGAGTTGACACGTGAGATAAATACCACTTTGCCATGCCAGCCGTGTTGCAGAGAAGCTGCCTGGGGCACCACCTTTCTAAAGCCAGCATGCTTCTACTTCGGAAGTGCCATGGGGTAGCCCTTTGCCCTCAACAACCCACACTGGATCCCCCTCCTGTATTAGCACCTCCCGGGTCATGAACCCCAGTCTGCATAAACACCCACCTCCTTATTAACCATCCCCCAGAGCTGGTGACCTCCAGCTACTGCCTGCCCACCTAACCTCTAACCTACTGCTGTACCTGATAGTTTTAATTCATACACTGAATACCAACTCTTCAGATCACTCACACTCACAATCCTGCTCCAGTTTTCACTACTTGGCTAAGCCCCCAATGTCAAGCAACTCACAGTTCCACCAAATCAGAATCCCCCTTTTCCTTGTGCTATGTTTTGTCTTTCCTGTGTTCTCAATGCAGCTCCCTGCAGCCAACGTGGCCCTAGCCTGAGCCCAATCAATGTATGGCATTATGGAAGGACGGTCAAGGTCTAGTAGAGTCTCCGCCGCCAGGGATACCAACAACTGTGTCAAGGACCACACAAGGCCACAAATGATCCTGCAATTTCTCAACAGAGGAGCAGACCTAGAGAACAGTGGGCCCAGGCAGGTGGTTTTCCAGAGCAGAGGAGTCTTGTCTGTGCGGGCCTTCATCTCCAAGACAAGGCTGAGTCTCACGGGCAGGGCGGCAGGTCCTCAGACAGGACCAGTAGGATCAAGATAAGAGTGCAGAGCTCAAAAGGTATATGATCGGCAGTACTCAGGTGGAGGGCAGGGTGAGGAAGAAGAGCTGCAGGTGAGAAGGGAGAGAGCCAGCAATGTGGGATCAGTGGCTAGGTACTGTCCCAACTTCGCTGAGCTCAATGTGCATCTCCCAGCACTGGCTTCCCCACATAATCCCTCAGTCCCTGGGTGATTCGGGACATTCTGGAAAGATGCGGAAGGAACAAGTGAGACAGTGGTCACATCTGTTTCACACTCAAAGGTCAATGCAGAGCCCCAGACGCAGGCACAGCTCACATACACTGTCACCACCGGTGAGCTGGTGCACCTGGCTGAGGCAGGGACAAGTCCACCCCCTTGCCTGCAGCTCCCACAGGACCTCCCCAGCAGCTCATCCGATTCCCAGGCCATGATGTGTTTAAAGCAAACTGGGGTGCCAGTTTCTCCTCCAGTCCTCAGCATCCCCAAAACTGGAAGCTTGCCAGCAGCGAAGAATGTGTGTGGAGATCGGCTCATCCTCGCAGTTTCCAGTGTGCCATTGCTCCACGGAACTTCCTGCTCATCCTTCCTTCCCGCCCTGCTGACTTCAGGCCTAACACCAAATATACGGAAGCCAACAGCCATTCGTAACTTGCTTAACTAGCTCCTACAACTGGATGAGGTCAAATCCTGATCATAAATCCCATATTCTCTACCATTCCCATGGTTCCACTTCTCTCGTCAAACCATGACTGATACAGAATTTGGTACCAAAACTAGTACTGAAAAACAAAGCACGTCAAATGTTAATAATCAACTCATCGTTCACTTGGAATATTTGTGAGTCCTACTTCCATTAGGCTGCAAGGTATGCTGAAGGACTAGATTATGTATAAGATAAAGAACTCCACTCATTGTTGAGTCAATAATTATTCATGATTTTATTAAAAGTCCCTTTAGAGAACAGTAGGAAATTAATTCTTAGCTAACATCAGCTTGGGAGAGGAAAAGGAGGTTATTATTATTATTATTTTTTTTAGTGTACAGGTGTTAATAATATAAAATTAACCATATAGATATTATACTTCCATACATGTTTCTAATAATCAATTACTATGTTGCTTTAATACTATAATAGTCTCATTAAATCAACACTGCTTAACTAAAATGGTCATGTTTAAAAGATGCTCATATCATTTTTATGACCACTCTTGAAATTTTCTGGTAAAATATATTATATAAATGACTTTGATAATGTACTCTAAATAGAAGGACATAAAGCTTAGCGGAAGAACCACTATAATCAAATGTACAGAGAAAATGTGTGAGCAAGGCAGAGAAAGCATGAAAGCATGTGAGCAAGAGAGAGAGGGAGGGGAAGGAGAGAGAAAATCATTTGGACACATAAATGAGCTTCAATAGATTCTGGCTGAAATATTTAATGATATCACTGAATATCACATTTACCATTAACTCCAAGAGGAAATTTTGCAGAGCCCTTTAATGCTCAGCCAAAGAAAAGAAAATATGGTTCGTATCTACCAAGATTTTTGTAAACAAAAGATCGTAACTTTTCCTGTTTGTTCCCATTTCTTCTAGTCAACATGACACGATCATTCAAGGCCCAGGTCAAATGTCATTTCATATTGTGGCCCACACTAACTCTTTCGGTTTCATTAAATATATTATACTATTAATCACACCAAATTGTAGTAACTTATTTTGCCTGTCCCTGAGATGATGAAGACTTGAGGTCAGGGTCTAAATTTAATTTGTCTTTGTAGCCCTGTGTCTAAAAAAAAATAAATCCTAAATATAGGATTGCTGGATTCATCACACTGCAGGGTAGGTGTGATGATTAATTTTGTGTCAACCTCACTGCGCCACAGGGTGCCCACATTAAACATTATTTCTTGGTGTGTCTGTAAGGGTGTGTCTGGATGAGATTAGCATTCGAATTGGGAGACCAGTAAGTAGACCGCCCTCCCCAAAGTGGGTGGGTATCACCCAATCTGTTGAGGACCTGAATAAAACAAAAAGTGAAGGAAGGGAGGAGCCAGTCCTTGCCTGCTTAAGCTGGGACAACAGTCTTCTCCTGTCTTTGGATTTGGATTTACACCATCAGCTCCCTGGTTCTCAGGTCTTTGAACTTGGACCAAAATTGTACCACTGGATTTCCTGAGTCTCCAGCTTGTAGTTGGCAGATGATAGGACTTCTCAGTCTCCATAATCACATGAGCCCATTCCTTATAATAAATCATATATATCATACAGGATATATATACATTTTGTCAGTTCTCTTTCTCTGGAGAACCCTGATTAATATGAGAGAAGGTGTTGACATTTGTGAACCAACTACCACAGCATATCCAATATCTTCAAGAATTCCTTATCAACACAAAGGAAAAATTTGGAAGTCCTCAGTCAAATCCTAAAACCAGAAGCTGACATATTAAGTAGGACACCCAGTACCCCCAGGCATGCTGGTACATCCCAGCATATCTTCAGTCAAAGGGAAAAAAACATATACAAATACTATTTGGTCTGAGTAGCAAATTTTCCTAAAGCTAAACTGACTACATTCTGAACTCAATTAACATGGCTTAAAATAATAAAAATGGCTATTTTAATGAGCACTTAGTGACTGCCAGACAATATGCAAATGATTTATCATTTTTTCTCATTTAACCTTCACGGCAATTTTTTTATAGAGTAGGCATCATCATCCTGGTTTCCACATCACAGACATGACAAGGAGATACAGAAGCCAGGGGAAGCCCTAGCAGAGCCACAATTAAAAACCAGGGGGCCCGAGCACAGAGCCAAGCTCTCCAACTCCACAGCAGGCTCAGCAGGCTCAATTTAAGTAGTCTTAAATAAATCTAAAATCTTACTTATTGAAAACAGCAATGTTCAGGAATTTTTATACCCTTCCTTTAAAACTCACTGAAAGCTTTCAAAGCAAATTTAGAAAAAAGAAAAAGAAAAAAAAAAACAACCCAACAACAAAACCCTCCATCTTCTGTGGAAGCAAACACAGTCAGAAACCCATACTGCCAAATAAAACATATCTGTCAAAGACTGTGAAATCTGGGAGGCCGCTGGGAGCTGACATATACCTCCTCAGACCTTAAGCAAAACACAGAATTTCCGAAAAGTAATAATCGCAGTTATGAAAGGTCTACCCAGGGAAAGCAGAGACAGTGCCAGTAGAAGAGCATGCGTCCAGACACAGCATTTTTTAGAGTCCAGCTCAGTCATCAAGGGGGTCCACCTGAGAGGCGAAGGGAGTCAGAAGCCTTTATCTCAAGAGTCCTTTACTGTATAATGGAAACGAGGAAGACTCTGGAAAGGACAGCTCTACTTAGAAAGTATTTCAAATAACTAGCTCAAGTCAAAGATTTTGGACTCATCTAGCTCATACCCAAACCAGTGGTGCCCCTGTCCACAGCACTCCCTGCAATACTGGCAATTACTAGCCAATACTGGCCCCATTCAAGGATGGGTAATAACCACAGGCCACAAGAGAACTGTGCAAAAAAGCAGCAAATAGCAAGAGAAATGTAAGGAATAGGCTAGTGAGGAACAAACATAGGAGGACAAATTACCCAAGGAAACACATGAAGCATTTGGGCATAAATACCGCTTCATAAACTAAAAAAAAAAAAAAAAAAATTATGAACAAAAGGGCCTTTCTTCAAAAAAAAAAAAAAATATTCAAGGAAGAAGTAGAAGGGTTCAAATGATTAAAAGACAAGTTAACTGAAACTGATGAAAATAAGCTGACAGAGCTCTGAAATACTACAGAAATACTGTTTAAAAAGCCACTTGGGGAAATGAAAAATAATGCTGAATTTGACTGAAAACACAGTAAGAAAAAATGCTTAATGGGAAAACACAATAAGTGAAATCAAAAAGTTAAAGATGAAGACTACAGATGTGAAAAACCAAGGAGAAACATTAGATATATTTTCAGGGTTACTAAAGAAGAGAACAAAACAAAAAGAAAATATACTTTAAATATGATTTAAAAATCTGAAGACATAAATACAGACTCTACTTCTCAGAGTTTAATGACAGGATCCAGGAAAAACCGATACAGAATCATAAAAACCAAGACATAATCGATGAAGTTACTGAACTTTCTAGCAAACTAAAAACAGTCCACAGACATCTGAACAAAAAGCAAAACAAGAAAAAGTAGATCAGTTTGCTTCCGTCTTCACAGTGACACCAAACGCCAGAGAGCAGTAAAGCAGTGATTCCATATTTCTCACAAAAATAAGAATTAAGACTAAACTTTGATATCAAACTAAAGCTTTGATAATTATGGTTCATAATCACAAATAATAAAGAAATCACTGGCAATAACCTTAATCTTGATGGTAAAACAAGAAGAGGGAAAAGGTATTCAGAAAGAAATGTCACCAATTTTCCCATCTTCCGTAGCAAAAACTCAAAAGATGCTATTTTGAAGTTAAATTTGTTAAAACAAAAAGTTACCAGAACTCAAAGGATTTTTTTTTCCACTTAAGTCTTTTTTTTTAATTGAAGTATAGTTGATATACAATGTTATATTAGTTTCAGGCATACCACACAGTGATTTGACAATTCCTTCTTGACTCATTGCTCACCACAAAAAGCAGAGTCACCATTTGTCACTATACAATGTTATTAGAATATTACTGACTATATTCTCTATGCTATACTTTTCATCTCTGGGACTTACGTATTTTATCACTGAAAATTTGTACCTCTTAATGCCCTTCATCTATTTCACCCATCCTCCCAGACACCTTCCCTCTGGCAAACACCAGTTTATTTAAGAGTCTTTTTGTTTGTCAAGAAGTAGCATCACACTGGTTAAAAGGACATTAATTTGAAATTAATAAATTCCTTCAGTTTAAGTTCACTTTCTATTTCTTCCATTATATATTGGAAGCAAAATGAAAAATAACTCATTAGAAATACAAAGTATAAATATGATATTTTCTGTAAAACCATCTCTATTTACTTGTATATTCACACACAGAGATGTTGTAAATAATGTTCACCAAATGTTAAAAGTTGTGAGACGGGGTGGTGATGGTGCATGCTTTAATGTTTTAAAAATGAGCAATACATCATCTTTTCAAATAATAAAGCCATTATTCTACTTTAATAATTGCATATTTCTCAGATCCCTGTATATCATTTTGTTCTCATTTCCCAGATAAGAGAAATTAGACACCCAAAGGTGAAATGACTTGATGGGAGAGTGACCTAATTCAGGATGATATTTTAATAAATATATGATATACCTACTAGTTTCCATCATTATCAAATCTACTGATTTGGCTCAATACGAGGATGAACTTATAATATAATTATATATGCCTGACAATAGGATGAATTGTGCCACACAGTAGGAAATTCCAAAGAGCACTTAATGTAAGGCTGATGTAACCAACCAACTCTTCTAGAAAGTTGTCATACACGAAGCACATGTTAGAGTTAGTGATCTGTCAGGGTGCTTCCAATTCTGACAACGGTTGACTTTATGACATGAAGTCATACAACAAAGTCATGAACCTCTCCCTTAAGCTATAAAAATAATAGTATCAGTACCACGCTCACATTTAGAGTTCTGTGCTTTAAATCATTTTCACGAATATGTCATACTTCCCTTCCCCAAAAACAACTCTTGAAATAGGTAGGACAGGTGTTATTAGTTCCAGTATGCAGTTGAGAAAATTAAAATTCAGAAAAGAAGTCACTGGTCCATGATCATACAGACAGATCATTACAGAGCCAAGACTTGTTTTTCTGGGGTTGTTTGTTTGTTCTAGTCCATGTTTACCATCCAAGCAACTACTCTACATAAATGCACAGTAGCCCAGCGCTGACCACGTTTTACTTACATTACCCTGGGGTTTTCCGAGCAACTATGCCTACCCAGTTCAAAATGGAAGAAAGGCTAGGTTGCTGCGATTCTTTCTATCCTGTGTGAGGAAAGAGCCTTGGAACTTCATGGAAAAGAACTTTAAAGCAACCACACTATATATGCCCATCACTATGCTATAAACTCTTTTTTTGGAAATTAAAGATTTTTTTCAGCAAAGCCTGCTGTTGTCCTTATGGTTTCCAACTACAAGAAGTAAAAGTCATCCACTGCTGATGCTAGATGGTTTAAGC